TCCGCGCGTCGCGCGCCTCCCCAGGCCAGGCAGCCTGCGCGGGGACCCGAGCCCGCAGCCGGCCGAGGCGCGCTTGGAAACCAGGAGGCCTTGCGGGACGCGCTTTGCTACACACGCCGGGCAGTGATCGCCCCGGGGAGAGACCCCTGATCGCACCCCGCTGGCCCACCGAAAGTGATGAGTGCTGGCTTGGGCCGCCAGGACCTCCGGGCCACAATCGACTGTTGATACGGGGCACTGCTGTTGCTGTCGATCCTGTAACTGAGGGAGCCCCACCCACCCCCAGATTGCAGACTGTCTGGGCCAAAGGGGGGCATCCAGCGGCTTTTTATTCCCTATCCTCAGGCAGACCCCCACTAGGTTCTAACTAAAGTAGTTTCTCTGAAAGGCCCAGAGCATCCCTTAGTGGTTGTCATTAGACCCTCCGGAGTCCAACGGGTCTAGTGGAGACCCCAGCGTCCTTCCCCTGACCCCAAGTCTTCCCCCAGAGGCCGCTCCATTCCTCTGCTCCCCTCATAGACCTCCTTTCAGGGTCCAGTCCTCAGCACCCTGAAATCTGAATTCTGCCCTTCGGCGCCCTAGCTGTATTGCTTCTAAGTTCTAAATCCAATGAAATCTTTTCTGTCCTCCTCTAAATTGACTGACTAGGTGCAAACAACCCGACGGCCCCACCTTGCTTTCTGATTAACTCTGCCCTGGCCTTTGGGACACCGCACCCTCCTGTTCTCCTCCTACCTCCCAGGCTCTTTCTACTTGGGATCCTCCTCCTCTGCGAGATCTCTCTATAGCTAAGTTTATGCCCGAGGCTTCTTCTCTCCTCCCCTACACTCTCCTTCTGGGGGATTTCAGAACTCTGGTATTAAATATTGGCTGTAGGCCCATGACTCTCTATTGGCACTGGTTAGGTGATAGGGGGTGGTTTATTATGCTCTTCTCTCTACTTTTGTGTATGTCTGTCTCTAGCCCAAATCTGCCCTCAGTGTGACCAACAGGCTCATTCATCCTGCCATATTTCTGACATCCCTACTTGAATATCTCTCCAACATCTCCAGTTTAATGCAGCTAAAATAGAACCCTTGAGTTCCCTGCCCCAACCCCCATCAGGGCCCAGGAGCTTAAGCCAGAAATGAACATTAACCTTGACATCTCCAAATCAAATGTATCAGGAAGTCTAGAGTTTATACTTCTGGAAATAAATCTAAGATCCATCTACCCCACCCTACCCCTTCACACCTTTCTACCATCACCCAAATCCAGGTTATCTTTATCTGTCCCCACTTTACTCTTGCTTCCCCCACCCTCAGAAATTTCTTCTTGTGGCTCTTTAAATAAAACCCAGACACCTCAGCACAGCTAACGTGTCTCTCTGTGTCTTTCCCTCACCCATATGGCATTTAAAGACATGGAGCCACAGGGGAGACCCAAGCATTGGACATGGTCATTTTCATGGGCAACGTTTTTGAGGAAAAACATTGCAATTTTTTTTCCTTTATTTTAACAGCATTAGGAATGGTGCCACCTCCTGAAAATGTCAGAATGAATTCAGTTAATTTCAAGAACATTCTACGGTGGGAGTCACCAGCTTTTCCTAAAGGGAATCTGACTTTCACAGCTCAGTACCAAAGGTAAGTCTGGCCTCACTAGTGGCAGGAAGACACCAGAGGATGGTGGGGAAATTCTTGTGGTCAGCTTTTACTTTTTTCATTTTCTTGTTGTGTGAATTCATGGTTTGACTGTTTATCACAGGGATGCTGGTAGATATAGACATTTTATCATGTGTATATGGATGTAACCAACCACAGTGGTGGCCTAGTGCTATGTAGAATCTAGCTTGCTTGTCACAATTGATGTGTTTTCAGAGAGAAATGCCACTGCTATCATCTCCACTTACTAGAGCAGTATTGCTAGAAGTCAACCATGTACAAGTGGAAGCTATCCAAGAAACTGAGGTATGCAAAGTGTAGAGGATTCATAAAGCAAATGTACTTCACAGGGCCTGGTTTTCCAAAGCCTTGCAGTTTCAAATATTGACCTTGCAAAGGACAGGAAATTTTCCCCAGGCTATTAAGTCTCTGTTGCAAGATAAGAAATGTAACATAGCGAGGTTGCTGGCTCAAAGACAGACAAGTTATTGATTGATATATAAAGATCCTGGGAAATTGCGGTAAGAAGAGAATGTTTGCTAAAATCAAGCCTTTGTTGCAAATTGCATTACAGAAGATCATCTTGCTTGACTTACTGAATGTTACCAGCTTCTGTTGTTAAACTTGTTAAACTGCACTTAACAAAACCCCACCTATGTCTCTTCCTGTAACTTCTTGGTCTGGAGAATAAATGCAGAAGGAGAACACCAATTCGTGGTTAATTTCCCAAATGGAAGCAATGCCTCACTCTTGAGGATTCTGGGACATTAACCCCTTTTTGAGGATTCTCAGTGCTCAGAAGAGATGGGCCTTGAGTAATGTTTGGTGGCTCTGTCACCCAGAGGAAAAGAGGTGACAAATCCATGAGAGGCAAGCAACACAAAGCAGTCAAGAAGGCCCTTGCTACCGTACCATTACCCACCTCCAGTGAGTTATAACAGCATGCCTCAATGTGTTGGGGTACAAGTGATTTGTATAGTGGGCACTCAGTTATTCTGTCTGTATCCTAAAATTGAAAGTGAGATAGCTACTGGCTGTCAAAAGCTCTGTTCTCTGACAACAGTAGAGGTTATGAAGGAAGGGTGAATGTCATGCTAGACGATGATCTCAGCGATGGTCTGAACTCCCTGTACCTGTCCTGCCTTTCAGTATTTCCCTGTGCCTGGTGAAGGAAATCCATGCCAGCCCTCCCTTGGCAGCCTGTCATCATATGCCACAGGCTGGACTGCAAGTGACATACCTTTATGCTGGGTGCAAATAGCAGGAGGCTAAAGACCTGCCCTCTTGTGACTCAGAAACCAGAAAAATAGGCATGTTCTTACTGAGTTAGGCAGAAATTCAGTCTCATCCCATTCATCCTACACTCTTTCCCATCCATCTGTCATTTTACAAACATACCGATGGCCTGCTAAGACAAAGAAGAAGTGGAAAGATGACTAAAATGGTCCTACATGTTGGGGTTTGTTCTTACTGAGTTAGGCAGAAATTCAGTCTCATCCCATTCATCCTACACTCTTTCCCATCCATCTGTCATTTTACAAACATACCAATGGCCTGCTAAGACAAAGAAGAAGTGGAAAGATGACTAAAATGGTCCTACATGTTGGGGTTTCTTTTTAACTTTTTAGTTCAAAATAATTCCAAACTAATAGAACATTTCAAATTTTCAAGTATAGAACAAAGAGCTTCCAGATAACCTACATCCAGATTCACTAATTTTTAATGTTTGCCATATTTTCTGTCTCCCTCATCTCTGTCTCTCATACCTCAAGCCCTTTGCCCCTTAATAATCCAGTGTGTATTTCATAAGGATTTCACAAGGGTAATCTTTTATATCACAGCTACAAGTACAGTTATAAATTCAGGAGCTTTGACACTGATACAGCACTTTCATCTAATCTACAGTCTATAGTTCGGTTTTATCAGTTGTCGCAAGGATTTAAGAAGGGTTATTCTACAACTCGTTTTTTTCTGAGGTGCATTCTCTAGTACTGATTGGTTTTATCATTGCATCTCTGTGTATTCTCCGTACAGTCTGGATAGCCATAGAGATTTCATTATGGAAAATTAACTTCCTTCTGTCTCTTTCCCCTATAGCTTATTTCTTATTGTTCTGTGCCTTGCTTTTTTGCCATCATATTAGAAGCATTTGTTTGGGTATTCATCTTTTAGATGAGAGATCCCGGTGACTTCATGAAGTTGTAGGGGCAGGAGATGGTTATTAACCAAGAGTCCATGCCTAGGTTCTGGGTTTCCTCCACATGGAATTACAGACCAAGCATGGTATGTGCTGGGGAAAACAAAACACATGCTGGACATGTCCTGGGGGAAGAGATTTGATCCCAAAAGATCTGACCACTGTTATATGGCTCCGTATAAGGTTTGTTTAGAATTTAGCCTGAGCAATTACATAGCACAAACTTCTGTTACCTGTGTGCATGGGAGCAGTGGTAGCCAGAACAGGGGGCACTTCAGAGAATGTACTGGTGATTTTAATATGGAAACATTCAAAATGATTATATGTAAATATGGGGAGTGGGTGATATTGCCTATTTAACAAGGAGAAAAATGCTTGTTAGTGCAATAAAAATAACCTAATGAAAGAGAAGTTATTGCAAAAATAACATTTGAAATACTGCATGTGTCAGACAAGCTATGCATTAGCTTAAATGAAGGAAATGGCCGCATGTGAGAAAACCCCCTAATGAAATAATCCCTGGATTTTCCAGATGATGGAATGTTAGGCAGCCATGAAAAGTTGATTGATTAGCAAAATGTTTGTGCTATACTAAGTGGAAAAAGCAGATTGTAAAATAATATGATCCCAGTTATCTCTACCTCGTTTTTGCTAGAGATTGTTCTGGACATTACTAAGAATGTGGTGAGGTGTCATGTGGTGCCTGAGACCGTGGGATCTGAAGTCAGACAGACCTGAGTTGAGTTGCACAAGTTTCCTAGGCTCCATGCCTGACCCCTAAGTGCTCGGTAAATGTTGGCTGTTACTATTTTTATCACCATCATCTTCATTGTCACTTTTGAGAGCAGCCAAATTGGCTTTGGCACCTTGACAGAAGGGTTCATTGGCAAACCAGTCAGACAGCCTCCTCACTTTTCGCAGGAGGACAGCCTGGCTTTCCTTACTCAGGTGGGGTCATGACACCTCCTCGTACTGTTGTCAGGTGAAGTAGCAGGAGATGCATTTACTTTGCATTTAGCAGGTGTTTCCCAGCGTCATCTCTTTTCTTCTTCCACCTCACACTTCTGCCTCCCTCACTTCAGTGGTTGCCAGGGTTCTGACTGAGATCAGTAAACTGTTTTATAATTTTTCCAGAGTAGTTGCAACAATAGTCATTTATAGGATTTTATTTGAAATCATTATAATGGCCTTATTTTGGTTATCAGTATCTCACAAATCATGTCCCCTGCTTTCCGAAATACATAATCAGGGAAGGAAGCTCTTTGATCAAGTATGTTGAATACTCAACCCCTTTTTGGAGAAGCACATGCTTATTAAGATATTAAAATCTCTGAGAATTTCTGTTATGAAGTCCCCTGTTTTTATGTCTAACCCAGTTTTCCCGCCAAATTATTTGACCATAGGATGGATTATTTTTGAAATGCCTTATGTCTCAAGGATCACTAAGGTCTGATGGAGCACAGTTTGGAAAATGCTATTGTAAATTATACATACTGTTCACCAAAATTGATAATGAAGAATTCACTTTATTTTTCTCTCATTATCCTCCATTATCCTCTTTGGTAGCAGAGGGGATAAAGCACCAGTCAACCTCAGAGAGACTGAAGTTAGAACTCTCATGATTTTATCTTTCTGATTGTGTAGTTATAGGGGATTTCAAGATATATGCATGAGTACTGCCTTGACGGAATGTGATTTCTCAAGTCTTTCCAAGTATGGAGACCACATTTTGAGAGTCAGGTCTGAATTTGCCGACGAGCATTCAGACTGGGTAAACATCACCTTCTGTCCTGTGGATGACAGTAAGCCATTTTGTTTTCCATTTTGTTGTAATGTCATCATCTTGCCTTGGTTTTTTTCCACATTGGTTAGTCCATCATCAAGAATTGAGTGCCCACAAAGTGGATGGCCTTGCACTAGGAGTGTAGGGAAGATGAGAAAGAGGGCTGTGGCCTTAAGAAGTTGATGGGGCAGAAGGAAAGGGTAGCATAGCATCAATAAAATAATTAAATATAAATTGAATAACTTTAATGCTTCAAGGGTGTGAATAAGTTGGGGCCAGTTCTGTTAATGAGAAGAACTGGAAAGATTCACATGGTAAATTTGCTGGGAGGAAGTCAATTTGAAATTATGATTTAAGGAAATGTGACAGGATAGACAAGAATAAAGGCACATGTGGAGACAGAAGGACCAGATGCATCAGATCCCCTGACTGGCCAGCCACCAAAAAAAAGCTGAGAAAGACCAGGTGCAGATAGCTAGCTTGCTCAGAAGGAAGGACAGAAGGAAGGGATACAGCTGATGGCAAATGGGGTGGGGCAGGCTGGCTGGTAGCATTGAAAAGAATGTTCCCAGGTTAGATCTGGAGGGTCATGGGGACCCACCAGAGGTCATGAAATGAACATATTTAGAATATCAGGAATTGGGAACTAATTAAACCACCAAATAGCAATTTAGAGAGTAAAGAACCTCATTAACAAAACTCATGTACAGCCCTCCAAGGAGGAGACAGAGAAGCACTAAAAGAATTGTCTCTATGTGAGGAGGGGTCTTTAGACCATTCCCCTGCTCTGAACCCCAATGACTTCCCACAATTACATCCTCCCTGGTAGAGAATGGATGCGAGGATGCCTTATTCCCTCTTCCAATTCTGTCCCAAGCTTGGGCAATAAACTCTTATTTCTGGAGTCAGAAGTTATCAAAGTTATATTATCTTTTCTAAAGGTACCTTTATAAAAACAAAGAAAAAAATGAACCCAAAAGTACAATCTAACAATAGTCAAGTTTCCAAAACATAGTATATGTTTCTGTTCCTGTAATTGCTAACTGATTTACCAGGTCCTGCCTGGTTCCAAATCCTGTTTATGTCCCATCTCTGGAAGGTCCCTTTAGAAACTGAGGTACAAAATGGTTGAGCAGCTCACTGAAAGGTCACACAGGTAATGAGTGACAAAGCAAAGATTCAGACCCAGGCTCCTGCATCCATGCTCTTAGCAACTACTATGCTATATTGGATATTTGCCTCTTCAAAGTTATATATTTTAGTGATAGGAAAGTGCTTTAAGAGGTCATACAGAACCTATTTATACTTGCTTTCGAAAAGTATCTAACTAGTTATCTTGTCTGGTTTTCAGACCAGTAAATTTGAATGGTGGAAGCAGGCCCATTAGCAGCTCCCAAAAAGTAACAGTGGTCAGAGAAGAATACAGGACAGAACTTAAACGGCACATTTACCTGGAACCATTTGTTAATTATTCAGTATTATTATTGAGCAACTACTATGTGCCATGCACATTTTTAAGGCTGAAGCTACAATAGTAACCAATATAAAATCCCTGCCCTCATGAAGCATATATTCTAATGAGAAAGACGGATAATAAATAGATGTATATTTTATGATAGGTAGTGACTGTGGCTCTCAAAAAAACTAAAACAAGTTAGCAGGACAGAAAGTGATAGGAGGTGCTCTCTTACATAGGGCAATAAGCCTCTGAGGCTGTGGCATTTGAACAGAGACCCAAATGAAGTGAAGGGGGACAGCCACATGAATATCTAGTAAAGGAGCATTCAGGAGGGGAACAGCTTTAGACTTTGTTGGAAAAATATATGTGGTTAATTATATATGTTAAACATTTAAGAGTAGCCACTAAAAGTAATAGAAATACCATTTGTAGCTTCCAACCCATCAAAGGAAACAAAATTCAAGCTATCAGAAAGCAGAAGAAAAGGAGAAAAAGCCAAATAACTAGACTAAAATAAGATTTTTAAAAAGCATACTTTACAAAAAAGCCAATATAGTTTGAGTAATTTTAAATATATCAGAAATCACAATAAATATAAATGGACTAATCTTGATTAATAAAGACAAAGTTCATCAGATTTTTTTTTAAAGAAACAAAATTCAACTATCCTCCTTGACTATACTAATCAGTGTCATAGCAATAGTATGTTAAAGAGCAGTGTATTTCAGTACACTAATTGTTCTGCACACTTATGAAAAATTCATGTTGAAGTGAAGTTTTTAAGATGTGATTTTTGATTGCCATTTTGTTTTTGTTCTTGCACTTAGCCATTATTGGACCTCCTGGAATGCAAGTAGAAGCGCTTGCCAATTCTTTACATTTGCGTTTCTTATCCCCCAAAATTGACAACGAACCCGAAACATGGACTATGAGGAATATTTATAACTCATGGACGTATAATGTGCAATACTGGAAAAATGGTACTGATGAAAAGGTAAGTATGGCTAATCACATGTATTTCAGATGTAGGTTCCCATGCTTAGTTTTGGTCTGAGGCCACAATGATAGAGAAGGCCAGGAAGCTCTCCAGGCAGGGTCTTGCAAGGTGGCAGCACCTTACAGTCCAGAGGATCTAAGGCCTGGTCTTCGGAAAGCCAGAAGCTTCTCAGCTGGGGGATGACCAGTATCTCTGGCTCATGATTCCCAGACCCCCAGGGGAAATGAATAGAGCAGACTTTTCAGGGTGAAGTCTGCACGGTGTGAGCAGACAGATCTCTTTCTCCCTGAAGGGAAGTTGCAGGAGAAGGCAGAGCTGAGTCAGCAGTGGGCTGGGGAAACTTGAAGTCAGGAAATCAGGTGATCAACTGAATGACTACTCTTTCATGGCCTCAGCCCACACATACTCAGATCACTCAAGTCCCTGGTCAAGGCAACCCCACCCCTGGACACTTTATGAACAATATCACATCGTACCTTTCTGACCCTGGTTTTCCCTGTTGCTCTCTTCAGAAGAAAATTCCTTTAAAAACATGGGCTTGGCGGGCCGGCCCGGTGGCACACTGGATAGTGCGTCGCTTAGGAAGCGCGGCGGCGCTCCCGTCCGAGGGTTCGGATCCCACATACGGACCGGCTCCCGCTCACTGGCTGAGCGAGGCGCGGGAGCAGCGCCGAGGCTTGCGATCCCGTCGCCGGTCCCCGGTC